AACACAGAGTTACCATTTGACCAAACAATTCTATTCTTAAACATATACCCCAGAGAGTTGAAAACATATCTACACAAACACTTGAACACAAATGTTCTTAGGAACACTATTCTTAACAGTCAAGATGTAACAACAGCCCAAATGTCTATCAGTGGATAAACAAATGTAGCATATCTATACTGTACTATTCTGCAAAAGAAAGGAATGAGGTACAAATACACACCAGGTGTGGGTGAAACTTGGTATTAAAGTAAGTGACAGATGTCAGTCACCAAAAAAAGCACATGATTCCATCTTTATGAAATATCCGAATGGGCAAATACACAAAGACAGGAAGTAGATTAGTAGCTGCTTAGACCTGATGAACAGGAGGATGTAGGGATTAGAGGATAATAACTAGGGGTGCAGGGTTTCTTTCTGAGGTGATCAGAAGGTCCTAAAGTTGACAATAGAGATGTTGTACACAACCTTGTAAATACACTAAAAATAACAGAATTCTGTTTTCAATTTGTGAATTGTATAGTGAACAAATTATCTCAACAAATGTTAACAACAACAACAAAACAAGTTACCACCTAAATGTTAATGAATTCCAAATAGAGTCGCCAAGTTTCACAAGTAAAAATACAAATACTGCATGGTTCATGCTTACACTAAAAACTTCCACACTATGTATCTGAAGTTTAACTACATGTCCTGTACTTTTCACTGCAGCCCTGCCCCCATACTGATTTTCCTCAACCCGGAACATAATTATCCTCACTTCTAGGTACATGTATCCAACCATATAATAGGCATGTCTATTTGATTATGCTCCAAACACGAAACAAACATAAACAAACTAAAATCATCTCTCATTTCCTCTGAGGACCAGCAAATATATAAGAACTGGTACCTGAGACCTTAAGTCTGGCTCCTGGAGTCTGCTTTCAACTCCCAATGGCCTGGTATAAACCCAGTGGCTGGATCCAGGGGCAGGAGTTTTGAGACATTAAGTAAAGCACACATGCTGGAATCAGTCTCTGTCTCTCAAACTAAAAATCAGCTCCCCTTTCCCAACACTCTGTCACCATCATCCTTGAACTAGAATCTCATGCTCCATCAGTCTGCACAGCATACCAATTTGCTTCTGGAAGAAAAGTATTCTTTCAATTGGAAAGAAATGGGCAAAGAATCCCAAGTAGTCATCTTTCTAAAGATGATATACAAATAGTGCAGAAAATGTTCATAATAGCTAGGAAAATGTTCACTTCTTCATTACCCTGCTTTAAACCTCCCAATACAATGGCTCCATCAGGCTGTACACCTTGGGCAGTTTAAGAGTAGGTCTCTGCTTAACTTTTTGCCACATGTTGTCCACTCTTTCTTATTTCACATACCAGCCAAAAGACAGTCCTTATTCTAAGGATACAACTCTTGCTCTTACCTCCAGACATTCTGCATGTCACTCCTCTGGCCTAAACTCCCACTGTCCCCCAGAAATCTTACTTGAACAACTCCTACTCAGCTTGCAGGGTCTAGCTGATATCAAATCCTCCAGGGGCCCCTCCCTGAGGCCGGTGTTGAGTTACACACCTTGCACCTCTCATAAAAGCTCTCAATGTGATCTACCACAGAATGTTTTAATTGTCCACCTTTTCATCTGAGTCCTCTGGGAGACTGGAGATTCAACAAGGAAGGGGACTGTGCCTTCCTTGTTGAATATTTAGATATTCAGCCCTGACAGTCCCTATAGTGACTGGTTTATGGTAAGTAGTCCACACACACAGTGTGAACAAATTAATCAATAATCAAAAGTTAAAGTTATGTAACAACATTACAAGGATCTAGCTGAGTATTTACCATTATTCCTTTAAGGCTGAAACCACTAAAATATGCACAGTAATTCAACCACAAAGAACTGTGTCTTTAAAATATCAATTTATGTTTGCTGAAATATCTCAGAATCTGAAAAAAGAATAAAATTCAAATAACAACTTCTTTGCTCCTGCCCTCACATACATGTGGCTATTTAAATGAGGAAAACACATGCAACTATTTAAAAAGTAATGACAATTTGATATTCTTATCCTAGAAATCCAACACAACTATGAATTAAAAACGGAAATTTCTTGAAGAAACTACAACCCAATTTCAAAGCAATACAATATCTAAGCTAGACATATTTTTTCTATAGAGAAATTAAAACAGATTACAAACATACAAACAAATAAATAAAATTAAATTTCAAGAGATCTCAAAAGAAAAAAAAGTCAAGGGTAGAAGATAAATCTACAAATATTAGAACATAAAATATATGCTTCGTGGACCAGTATATTTACTAATGATGGGTCAAAAACATGGCTATACACCTAAGACTGCTGCTCCATCACACTCACTAGATCATGTAAATTATAATATGCTTCTTCCACCCCACCCCATGTATATATATTTTTCTATTCCTTTTCCAGGTTCTCTCTCAGTACCATTTTCCTTCTGTTACTTACAAAATCTCATACTCACAGATTTTATTATTCAGTTTTTCTACTTAATATCTCCAAAAAATAATCATAATAATCCTCAGTTACCACCCGGAAGCATAATCCTATTTCTTTCCAGTGACAAGTTCAATACCCCAAGGTGGCATGCTGTACCTGTTACAGACTGAAATGCCAAAATGCCTCTTTTTAAGTCTATTTTACATTATCTCCAAAGGTTGTTCGTATTTAAAACTGTGTGGTGATTTACAACTAGCTTTTTTATATACAAAATTGGATGATGAAAATTTTGTGCTAGGATATAAAAATCAAATTTTGTGTTCACCCAGTTTTAAATCACAGCCTAACCGCTTTAACTTCAGGCAAAAGCACATAAAACCAAAGCACATTTTGATTCACTCTAAAACAAATCTTTTCAAACAAATTCCTTCTGCTCTATCAAGATTTATGTACAAAAGCTGAAGGCTTCTATCCTCCAACCTTGAATAGAAGCACTTGGAATACAGAGAAGTGGTTTTTTCCAGCTGTTTAAAGCTACAATCCCATGAGTCTGCCTCGTGGAGGCATTTAGACTTTACTTATTTGAAACTAATAGAATGGGTCAGTCAAAGGACACACTTGAGATCTGCATCTGATCAATGTTGGGGGTGGGGAGAATGTATTAAGAAATTGAGAATGTATTAAAGGTACATAATAAAACTAATTTTTAAAAGACATTTTATAGTAATTACTGAAAAATATTTAGAATAGCACACATTAACCATGTTATCTAAATACCGGCAACAGCCATTTATTTGCTTCTATTTTTAGCAAACCAGATATCAACACCATCCGGAATGCTTCCTAACTACTTGTTACTGACATATACTTTGGAAAACAGCCTATGCTTAACAGTTACCAGCCAATGTAACTTGAGAATCTGTTGTATATCTTAGTTTTGTTCTTTTAATAGAAATAACAACCACCTCTGTAGTTTTTCATGTGCTGGGTAATTATCTTTTGCCTCAGTATTTAATAATGTCTATTTAACATTGCCTAACCTACACATCTATCAAAGAACTTACAGTCTTCGTTATTTTAACTGAAACTTGCAACCCTGCCAACAAATATTCTAACTTCCATTTTACATAAGGAAATTGATATAGTAGTCATGCTCTTAAAAAATACAAACATACAGCCATTGTTTGGGGACATTTTATTCAATAATCAAGGGATGATGATGCCAAGTCAAATACACTCTATTCCCCCATCAAAGGATCAAGTCAATATAAATCAATCCATAGCTATTCCACTCCTATACATACAACACAGAAATATTTCTATGATTACCTCACCAAGTCATAAACTTCATCCACTGTAATCTCAAAACCATTTCTAAGAAACCCCAAGAAAGCAACTAAACTGCCTAAAATTATTTAGAGCACAAAGATACCTTGGCAATTACCTTATTATAAAAAGTAAATAAATGAACAAATAAAACTTTAAATGCATTGCCAGGGAAATGCCATGTATCAGCTTTCACTTCTTGAGAACTGTTACTACTCAGAGCACACAAATCTCAGTAAATTGCCCAACAAGAAAAAAAAAAATAATATATATATATATATATATATATGAAGAATTCTGTTCCATAATGCAATTGCAACTAGAAGTGGCTCCTTTTCAAATACTGTACATCAATTAAAAGCCTCCTGTCATGACAGACAACCATAACAAATTTAGCTGAATTAAGCATAGGTCCAGATTTCATGGAGGCAAAGGTTTCTACCTCCTACAGACTCAAGTAAGACTCTAAATTTCTTTCAGCTTGAATTAAATGAGAGAAAATGCAATTCATATTTCCAGAAGCAAGAGTAACATATTTTCCAGTAAGTTTCTTGTTCTCATTTTACTATTTTAAGAGTTCTGATCACTCCCAGTGTTTCTGTAAGACAAGATCTGGTTCCTGGTGGCTGATCATTTTCATGGCATGATGCTTTACTAAAACCATCTCCAAAAACTGTTTTTATTCATATTTAGGTTCAGTGTATTTATCTACAAAATACCATTTCAATGGAGTTGTGCCAATAAAAGAAAAGAGCTTACTAGAATTTCAGTTGACTTTGTTAAAGGAAATTATTTTAAATTAATGTGGCTACTGAACTGCTGCCATCCTTGACCTCAGAAAATATATTCCTTCTAATTTTTGCTGTGAACATTTATTTATTTAAGTTAAATTCCAGCTCATGAATGTTGACCATGAAGGAGGCTAAACCTTCCTGCTACTATTTCATATTCTTTTTCTAAACAAGGGCAACCACATGTTTGCTGCATTAGTATGCACAGCCAGATCACCACCATTAAGTGAAATCATCTATGTATTTTTGGTAGGATCTTTAACAACTTCCACGCCTGTCAGTGAAATGAAACAAGGCTGTTTTGTTTTCAGAGARCAACAATTTGATCTCTGGTTTACTAGATGGCGCTCAAAATATTTTTCCATATGTTTTTTTTCAAAGAGAATCTGACATCAGCATGGTTTACCTTTACCAGTGAATGCAGGCTTTTTTCACCAAACATATCCCAGAGGAAGGTCAGGTCTTCCTGGCTATCCACATGTGGCTGCAGCTGGGCTGGCAGAGCAGCCAACAGCTCATAGAGACCTATAAAATGAAAATAAAACACAAAGCGTAATCTTAGAGTGATCTCATTAATTTCGCTTAAGGTGTGTGTAAATGACGGCTGGAACATGTCATTTTAACTGGATTTGTATTCTGGGTCATCAAGCAAAACACTGCGCCAAAGAAGCAAAGTAAAGTTTTTTGATTTTTCAATTCCAAAGAAGTATGTATTAACAGACAAGCTTTTACCTTTCACGGTTGTCAACATTCTGCAGCCATCCAAGTTTACATAACCCAAGACAGAAAATGTGTACAGGTTTTCAGAAAAAGAAGAAAACACATACATTCCTTTCCTTAATCGTTATTACATTTCCCTCACTGCTAGCCAAAGAGTGAAATGAGTCATGAATAGGAAAAACTTCCTTAGGAGAACAGAAAATTGATAGAGTGGTCTACTGAAAAGGCTTTGCACTGTACAGAGAGTTCCTAATAACATATAGCTTCAAAAATATGTGTGTTAACCTAACATTAAAAATCAAGTTCTACTAAGGAAGACCAAATAATCTGCCCATGGTGCTACATTATTGTAGTCAACAATTAAGAAAGAGAAAGCTACACAGGACTGAGTCTAAATTGGGGATGTGTGACGTTCATCTAACTCCCCTCTGAAAGAGTTAAAATAGCAGACACAGGTTCCCCATGGCATTTGCTCACTGGAAGACTCCTAGGGGCAGACAGTAGCATAGTGTTCCACAGTAGCATGCTACACAAACCATCCATCTCCATCACAGGCCGTCAGACTCCTGTCCAAGAAATGTTGCAACAGCGCTTGCCCGAGACTCTTTAGGGAGGTGACCTGGCAGAAGTCAGTATCAACTCATAGCACATGTTTCATTTTCCAGTGGGATTACATGAGGTAAAAAGGACAAAATTCCTTTTATTTCTGTCTGCTGTCTACAAAAACACCAAGACCTCATGGGACCAGCAACACACGGGACTGCTGTTATTTTGGATCTGAATAAGTGCTGCTGTTCATCACGGGGACAGCTTTACAAGATATTTAGCTAGCAAAGAATAGTATATTATGGGCTGCTGATTAGTAGATCTATTATCTTCCTAAAGCAGGATCACACCATGCTAATCAGTGATAATTCACAAGCAAATGCGTAAGGTACCACTCTGAAAGTTTGACGGGTAACTTTGGAGATTTGATTAAATTCAAACATTCCTAAGGCTGTACTTAGACCCTACTAAAAAGCTAAAACTCTATTTTAAAAAAAAGAAAACACTTCTCCCAATTACATTCTTAAATATTTTTGATGCTTTACATTTATTCCCTAAAAACCTGGAATACTGCCTAAGCCGGCTCTTATTTCCCATTTTGTAAAACTGTTTTTAAAGTATGTCAACCTAACTCAATAACAACATAGATCTGTGTGTATGTGTGTGTAAATGTCTGCATGAATATGTGTGTGTGTGTGTCTGTCTGTCTGTCTGTTTCCGTCTCTCCCCCTCCACACAGCTCCAAGATCAGTAGTTAAGGTCAGAGGTTCAAAATGTAAAATCATGTTAAAAGAGTGGAATTTCATTCTTTTACTACTGATTTCAGGAGTTATAAAAATAATTACCTATCCTTGGGGTAATATGAGTTAGAGTTTAATTAAGGATAACTATTTCAACTGTGATATAACTTACATAGGTCAATATTCATCATGTTCCATATGTAACTCAGATCCAGTCATTGTTATTACTAATTATTGTTACTAATCATATTATTACTGAAAAGCAAAAGTTCAGATCAAACAGACATAGATTCAAACCCCATGTCTATATTTGGAGCATTTCACATAAGTTACTGAATTTTGTTTCCCTCATGTGTTTAAAAGGAAATGACAGAAGGCGTAGCTCAGTGGTAGAGTGCCTGCCTAGCACGCATAAGGACCTGGGTTCAACCCCCAGTACTGGGGGGAAAAAAATAATTGACAAGTAGTAAAACCACACAGACTACATACACACCCCCCCACACAATAGTACATAGAAAACTAGTGAAATCTGAATAAAGTCAATGGGGTATCCTAGTCCATTCTGTGGTGCTATCACAGAATATCACAGACAGGGTAATTTATAAATGATATAAATAATACACATTTACTTGGCTCATGGTTCTGGAGACTGGGACCAGGTGAGGGCCTTTGTGCTGTGTCAACTCATGCTGGAAGGCAGAAGTGCAGAGCAAGGGAGCAAGAGGGGGCCAGACTCACTTTTACAGCAAGCCCACTCCTGCATTAGCATCAGTCCACTTGTGAGAACAGAGCCCTTATGACCTGATCACCTCTTTTGAGGTCCCAACATCATTGTATTGGGGACAAAGTTTTCAATACAAGAACTTTCACAGACACATTCAAACCACGGGCTGTCTATACCAATGGCAATTTCCTAGTCTCCACAACTCTGCTGTAGTTACCCAGGAAGTTAACCCTGGAGGAAAGTGGGTGAAAGGTAGAGATCTCTCTGTATCATCTGTTCCATCAATATACGAACCTACAATTACCTCAGAATAAAATATTAACATAAAACAGAAATAGTGGTTTAAAAAAATCGTTGTATGAACTGAACGGAACAGTGCATGTGGCAGCACTTAGTGTCATGGCTGGCAGAATAGGTACTTGATAGAAGGTAATCTTCTCATTTCCTTAATACCTCTCCCTCTAGAATGAAATACCATTTCAACTCAATGGTTCAAAGTCAAAAAACAACAGCTTAGCCATACATTCCAACTGGATACAATACTACACTGAGAAATAAAACCACCCTAGTCTTTTACATATGGAAAGTGTTAACTTTGTCCAAATACTGCTTCCATTTTGTGGAATAAGTCATATTAAGCTTAAATTTTAAAAAAATAATTTTTCTGTTAGCAGAAGCTCATAAACCTGAGTTTTCTGGGTTTAACTAGCTTTATGCAATTGTAATTTGTATGCTACCACAGGCTGGCATCCTAGTGACAACAGCAAGCCCTGCCCTTCAGCTACCATATCTGGTAACCAGGACCAAAGCCAGAGAGATAGGACAGTGTCAACCAGAAATTAAAGACATGGCTCAAATAAAAAAAAAAAAATAACAGGGTAGAGGTGTGCACATTCTGAATGAAAGCAACACAGTCACTTCCAAGGAAATATTACAGGCCCTAGAATCCATCTCTGTCCACACAAAAAAACTTGATCTGTGTTCTGAGATGTTTTAAAATACTCCTATTTTCAGTTCCTAGAGTTCCAGTAGTGAAGAATGCTACAAAATCCAAATCTTTTTGAACCTGAAAATCCAGAGAGCAAGAAATGAGTGTAGATAGCAAGAAATATTCTTTGAAATGTTTACCTAAATCTTCTTGGTCCTTGATAAAGAACTGTGATAAGGAAAGCCTGCATTTTGCAGTCATTCAAGGTCATGAATGCTTCATTCCAGAAAGCACAGGACCTATGAACAGGAACTGTTCCAAGCTCTGAAGATCTCACAGGTACTGTTCCAAGCTCCATCAGACATGGTTCCCATCCTCAGGAGTTTATAGTACAGAAGACAATACAGACAGGTCTATTAGTGAGAGGCAAAGGAAGGGGCCGATTCTTACAAATGAAGAAGACATAAGGAAAGTCTTTACAAAAGTTGATAACACCTGAGTCTTAGTTATGGTTTGAATGTGTCCTTCAAAAAGCATGTTTGGAAATTTATCCCCCAAAGAAAGGGTGTTAGGAGGTGAGGACTAATGGGAGGTGATCAGGCCATGAGGGCTCCATCCTCATCACAGGAACAGTTTTCTCATCGTGTGAGTTCATTATAAAGGCTAAGTTCTGTCTTTCTGTCTGTCTCCATCTCTGTCTATCTCTTTTTGCCCTTCTGCCATGTAATGCCACACTAAGAAGGCCCTTACCATACTGTCCCCTCAATGTTGGAACTTCCATCTTCTAGAACTATGAGAAAATAAATTTCTATTCATCATAAATCACCCAGTCTTTGAAACATAAGATGCCCTCCTATCCAAGGGGGATACTTTCAAAGATCTCCAGTGGATACCTGAAATCAAACCCTATGTATGCTATCACTCCCTCTATATACTCTCTTGCTTTGGGGCCATGATGGAGTAAAACAAAGCATAAACACTGTGATAGCATGGCAGTGGATCTGACAGGCAAGGCCCACAAAGTGATTAACAGTTGGGCAGTACACACAGTGTGGACATGCTGGGCAGAGGGCTGATTCGTGTCCCAGGTGGGGCCGGGAAAGGTTTCATCACACTACTCAGGATGGTGCACAATTTAAAACACATGAATGGTTTATTTCTGGAATTTTGCAAACAATATTTTTGGACTACAGTTAACCACGGATAATGGAAACTACAGAAAGCAATATCATTGGAAATTACTGTACTTTGTTATAGCTGCACAAAATAGACTAAGAAAGTATTTAAAAACTATGTTCCTAAGAATCAACACTTGCTGAGCTCTTATATTCATAGAACTATGCTAGTCATTGGAGACACAACTAAAAAGAAAAACTATTGCCTCATTCTCTCTCTCAAACTCTTTGATGACACAGAGTACACAGAGATGTGACCAAGCATAAAACAATCCTAAATGTAAGGATCTCCCATCTGCCCAAGGAATGACACAAAATATTTTTCTGAATAAAGACATAATTAGGCTGCCAATGAAATATATCTAATTTTCAAACAATTAATAATTAATAATTCAAACAATTCATTTTTAACAATGTTGATAAAATGTTCACACCTGCTTATAATATTTAAATTATAATTTAAATAGGAACACATACTTTAATTCCCTAAGAGGTGAGATATATTAGTCTAGATATCTGGTTTTTACCTTACTTATACATTTCAGGTAACCATTTTATTTATTGTATTTCACAATGACTTCCTATCATTGATTCCACTGTTAGTTAGAATACATCAATTTTTTTATTGGTAGAATACATCATTTTCACCTCTAGATAAACTGTATAAGAGACAGTATTTATTTTATTACCTA